GGTCCACAACCATACACACCTCTATGTCCCACATGGTCCACAACCATACACACCTCTATGTCCCCCATGGTCCACAACCATACACACCTCTATGTCCCCCATGGTCCACAACCATACACACCTCTATGTCCCGCATGGTCCACAACCATACACACCTCTATGTCCTCCATGCAAACTCACAAAACTCACGCCCTCTATCGACCCTCCCCTTTCCACGCCACAAGTTACCTACAATATATTGATCCGACCATACATCCCCAACCCCCCCCCCAAACACTGGCTCTGTTTCAAACTAGCCATGCCCCTCCAGTCTAGTTTTCCCTTCTACCCCCCCCCACATGCTCCTGACCTCACCCATTTCACCATGCAGAGCCCTCCCCCCGCTCCTGTATCGCGCAACCCTTAACTTTTCTCATAAACTCCACTCCACTATTCTTCAAAACCCCCGTGCCCCCGCCCACCCAATCCTCTACCAGACCCTATGAGTATCACTGTACAGTGTACAGACTACTTCATTTTACCAATCCCATCCCCAAACTATCCTATAATCTCTAGCTTACCAATCATCATTATAAACATTTACGCGTCAATCGTCATAATGTGACATCAGCATTTTTATAACGATTATAAAGATTATGTGATTACTATAAATGCATCATGTAAATGATTATTTCATGTTACTTCCATTTATAGTTAATTATATACTTCTATTTTGATTGCCCTGGACAAATCTCATGTACAAATATTTACCACGTCAACTCATGATTGACAAAATATTTTTTTAAAATATGATCCTAGTTATAAGCGTGCAAGATAGATCATCTTAGAAATAAAATTGTTTTGGGTTTGTTTTTGTTTTTTTAATGTAGGAAGGGGCATAACCAAACAAACAAAAATGGTACCACATTATCAAAGTTACCTTTCTTGGAAATTTAAAGACGGGCAGCCACAGTCATTTTGTATACGCTAGAGGCAGAGTGTGAAATCCAAGCATTAATGATTATATAGAATGCCTAGGTTTTGTAAAATATGCCTGACCACTTCAGTCAAAGTATGTTATCAAATGCATTAGACATTATATACATTGCCTAGAAATTGTTCAGAATGGTTGGACCTAGGCACAGGGTTTCTTTCAGGCATACTTAAATGCCCTTCCCCCCCCCCCAGTGGAGGACATTGCCTAAAAGAAACACTGCCTAGGCAGAGTGTATAATAACACTCCAAGGCACTTTTAATTGACCAAATTTAATTATTTTTTTAATACATTTTTTTTAAAAATAACTGCACTGGCAAAAATATTTTGTTTAAGTTAGGGCACTCCAACTCAAATTTTCAAATACATCTGACATACACAAAGAGCATATCATTGGAAAGAGCTGGCTCTAAGCTTTCCAATGACCCCAAGATAATCTTTCTATCACTTATAGGAGAAAAGTTATGAATTTTGTAGTGATTTATTTTCCCCCACCATTCGGCTTTGTATTCAATTGTTAAGACTGTGATCGCAATAATAATCTGTTAGTACTATTTTGCTTGTATCTTTTTGGCTATTAAAGTTAGAGCTCTCAAATTTGGAGGAGACATTTAAAATACAATTTTTAACAAAATAAAACACATGAATTGTGAATTAACTAATTATATTTGAACAAATATGATTTTATTAGCACATGGCGAGGGTAACGACAATTGTCGAAAAATTTAATTTTACAAAAAAATGACATAATTACTAAACCAATGAAGCTAATGCTATAAAATGTTCAATACAAACAGATAATGTCCATCTTAAAGTAAGGCACATTTAAAATAAATAAAATGCAGAGCAGAAAAATTTATGCAACGTTAGAAAAAAATATTTCATGAAAAGAGATTGCGGCCGAGACATTTTTACACTTAAATAGATAACTTTTAAACGAATTAATAAAGCTACTGCAATGAAATTTTCAATACAAATAGATAATGTCCATCTAAAAGTACGGTAAATGTAAAATAAATAAAATGCAGATCAGAAAAATGTATGCAACGTTAGAAAAAATATTTCATGAAAAGCGGCCGAAATGAAATTAAGTACTAAAGTAAATCTAAATGGTGCCTTTAAAAAAAACTATTGCAGTAGTCTGAATTTGAGAAACATTGTAAATTTTGGTTATACTGATAATTTCCAATGAAATGAGTTTCTATTATCAAGTTGATTTGATTGATTTTAAAGTAATCCAGTTGGAAACAAAGTATTTATACTTTTGTCTTCAAGTACCAGTCATTGACATCTTGTGTGTACCATCTGTCTTACAATCAGACAACGGGAGTCAGCTGTTCCAACCTAATTTATTTTTAGCGTCTAAGCGACGCATGAATAATGATTAGTATAATTATTACTATTAGTATTCTTATGGTAATAATACAAGTAAAAGAAAGGACAGTGCGGATAAACGTATTTTCGGTTAATCGACGTTCTTAAAATAGACGCCCTACCAACTCTGCTTTATCATAATATGATATAATATATTACATTATAGGAACACGAACCCAAATATGGGAACCGGTTGGTGGAGATTAATGCTAGGTAAGATTAAGACGTAAAAGGAAAAAAGCGCCACATTGGTAGGGGGAAACACAGAAAATCCTGGGGTGGGGAGGGGGGGCATAATAAAATAAGGGATATTTTGGCAGAAAGCTTTCTTTGGCGAACAGAAGCAAGTGAACAATAACTATTTATTTAAAAAAATGACCTGCTGATGCTGTGGATGTTGGAAAGATACTGGTGAACTTTGACATAAGGGAAGATATATTTGTTTTTACTTTGCGAAAAGTTAAGTAGGTGTGTATTTTTAAGAGATTCACATTTTTTATTTTTTTTTAAAGACACTCAAATCTATTATAGACGTGAAAAACGGTTACGAGATTCTTCTTTAGATAAAAGAATTCTTTGTTTTACGATTTTCTGATCATGTGTGATTTAAAAAAAAAAAAAAAAAAAAAAAAAAAAAAAAAAACAAGGCAAAAGTGTGTTTAAATTTTTTATGGAGATATATCAAATTCTTTAATATAAAATATATTTATATCATATATATAGTTTTTGTTCTAAATTTAAGATTATGTTTTTTTTAAACAATTTTTAGAAGAAAAAAAAAAGTGTAGTTCAAGGGCACTAAAAGGGATAAATCAAAAGTATTTCTCTAGCGTAGAAATCGTCCTTCAATTAACTTCTTTAGTGATAAAAGTAAAATAATTAGTAATAATTTAGATTAGGTAATTTAAGGTCATGTTTAATGGGGGGAAAGTAGTTCAGGGGCGTGAGAGAGAGTAGGGTAAGCGTATAATATATAGCAGATAAATACTTCTCAAAACTTAATGATGTTAGAAACGTAAATTAAATGTCATTACATAGATACTACTTTTTAAAATTAGGAATTGTGATGAGTTTTTTTCAAATAGCAGTTAGAAATTATAACAAAGGACCTACCATTTTTATCCCGATAACATCGGGTCATATATTCTAGTTCTAAAGAAGGGTTATGAAGCCTTAAGGCTAAAGGTCATTTTTATACTGGAAGCCTCAAAGCCGATGACCCTCTTTTATAGGCAAGAAGCATAGGCTCGTAGGATGTTAGGACCATGTACGAGACAGGAAAATCGGCACAAATGGAGGCATAAATGAGAACATACAAGCTCACTCTGCTCGGCATTTGTGAAACAAGATGGACACCAGCTTGACAATTAACATTGGCCTCAGAAAAAATACTAATATACTTCGAGCATGATGCGGAAAAAATCACCACACACACAAGGAGTCGCTTTCATGATGCCACAAAGGGCATTGATAGGATGGGAAGCCCATGGTCCGGGAATTATCGAAGTGAAATTCCGAACCAAGAAGAGGAATATAAGAATGAATGTAATGCAGTGCTAAACACCCACCAACAATAGAATAAGGCAGATGAAAAAGAAGCTTTCAACTGCTACAATTGACTACAAACTATACTAGCTAAAATTTCAGGTAGGGATCTAAATATCATAATGGGGGATCTAAATGCTAAATTCCGAAAAGAAATTAGAGGAAATTGATATAATATTATTATGAGGTGCAATGGTTTAGGCGAAAGGAATGAAAATGGTGAAAACCGGGCAGACTTCTGCGCGGAAAATGAGCTGGTGATAGGGGACAGCATGTTCTAGCATAATAAAATACAATGGGTAACTTGGGTGTCCCTTATTAACAGAACAGAAAACCAAATTGACCATATTATAATAACAAGCAAAAAATTCAGACGGTCTCTAGAAGAAGTACGAGCTAAAGGAGGAGCTGATGTTGCTCAGATCACCATCTAGTTTGGGCAAGGCTTAAGCTAACACTGGAAAAAACTGATAAGTAAGTATTTATGGTTTTAATTATATATAGACTATATATATATATATATATATATATATATATATATATATATATATATATATATATATATATATATACATATATATCAACGAAAAGTAGACCTTAGATTTAGATTATTTTGACAATCCTTTCGACCTTGATAACAATAATTGTCATTTTTCACACTCCCCTCTCCTATTTTTACTGACGTAATTACTTGATTGCCTTGGGGAAGAGTTCCAGGTTCTCAAAAATTAATATTTAGTCTCCTAGTGTAGGTCACCAAAACCGTTTGCCGTGGTGGAATACGTAACAATCTTTCAAAATTAATGTAAAAGGGTGGCTAAGAAGGAGCCAAAATTGTTATCTCCAAAATACCAAGTTCAAACTAATTTATGGCCTACATTTTATTTTTTATAATTAATTCGTGGCAGAAAAGTGTCGAAACAATGTTGATAAGATTTGGTTTTAAAATGTTACTGATATTCGTCTCGCATCGGCTCATTGAAAGTTGAATTAACATCAGGCCTACTACTTGCTGTAGTTAGTGTGGATAAGTGTGTTTGGCACAATTCATGTCAAATGTTTTTACATTATTCATCCCAATAGCTTTGTAATACCGGAAATGAACTTTATTCTCGTGACCGCATAAATATGGCGAAATAGTTTCTGGTGTACTTTGCCAAAGTAAATGATGTGTCAAGTCGTGTTTTTGTAACTTATCGATCGTAACTTTTTAAACTTATTTTACACAGCAATAGAACCGAAATTCTGACTGCAGGAAATATGATGAATATGAGCTCTGATGTTGGAGCAGAGAGTCATTTTATACTTGATGCCGACGAAGATGAAATTGTGAATATATCGACAATATCGTCGGCGAATCAAAATGTAAACAATACTACGAGCACACCACCGACGTTACCTAACCCTACGGCATCTGATTCTTACCAACTAGCATCAGAAGTTCAAGTTTCTTTCGCTCCACAGATTCATAACCATGGTAACCATAAATCTGACAGTCATTCAGGACACAGAGGAGCACCACGTTCTCCAACAAGAGGCAGTGGTCAAGGGTTCAAAGAAAACTCACCACTTTTAGGACCAAAATCTGATTTTGAACACTCTGGTGAGTGGAACCAATTTCCTGATGACCCTGCTTTTGAAGAATCAGTATTAGCAGCCGAACTGGCCATAGAGGCCAATTGCTTCCCTGAAAGAATATACCAGGGTTCAAGTGGAAGTTATTTTGTTAAAAGTACTGAAGGGGTAAGTTGTGTTCTTTTTTAATATAATAAAGTTAAAGTTAATTAAAGTTAAAGTCTTTTTTTAAACATTTTATTTATCGTAAGGGCCATCCATAATCTATTATATTTGGTGTACAGAGTACCACAGGGGTCCGTTTTTGGCCCGATTCTATTCACATTGTATACCAGACCACTGCTCCTCTTGCTTGGGAGGCATGCTGTTGAGAGCCAGTCATTTGCAGATGACACGCAGCTATACAAGCATACCCATCCTTCTCTTGTTGAATCCGCTGTCCAGACTTTGCGGGGGTGCATTGATGATGTCAAGTCATGGATGACACTCAGCAAGTTGAAGCTTAATGATGACAAAACGGAAGCACTCCTCATCCACAATCACACATCATCCTCTACCTCAACTCTTCCTACCTCATTTCAAGTAGGTAACTCTGACGTACGGTTTACACCCTCTGCTAGGAATCTTGGTTATATTCTTTCTAACAACATGTCTCTCGATAAACACATATCTCACATTTGTCGTTCAGCATACACCACTATCCGTCAGATCAGCTCCATACGCCACTACCTCACAGTTAGCGCTACAAAAACTCTAGTCTGTGCTCTTGTTCTCTCTCGTCTTGACTATTGCAACTCTCTTCTGTCAGGTTCACCAAAACACTGCATAGAAAAACTGCAGAAAGTTCAAAACTCAGCTGCTAGGCTAGTTTTAAAGGCAAAAAAACGTGATCACGTCACTCCACTACTCCATTCCCTTCATTGGCTACCTATACAGGCACGCATCGACTACAAGTTGTCTGTTCTCTGTCACAACTTTTTCTTGGATTCCTGCCCTTCCTATCTAACCGAACTTCTTTCTGTCTATTCACCCCTTCGACAGCTTCGCTCCTCTGCAGACACGCGTATTCTGTCCGTTCCCAAGACACACACTAAAACATATGGTGAACGATCTTTCTCTTTCTGCGCCCCCAAACAATGGAATTCTTTGCCACTAAACATACGCAATATACCAACCACCCAGGCCTTCAAAACTGCACTAAAAACATATCTTTTTAAATTATACTACCCTGACTGATTCCCCTCCTCTGACCGATAAATGATCTTGCTGGCTGCCGTCCATGGTTTGCCTTGTAAAAGCTATGTGGTGGGGTGGGTGAATATACATTGCTGTTCTTTATTTCATAAATGTATTTTATTTTAATGTCATGATTATATCTCTTTTGATTTAATTTTTATGTACAGCGCAGTGAGCCTAGCCCTAGGCTGGGGTACAGCGCTATATAAGACGTCTTATTGTTATTATTATTATATGAAATTATTGTCATCATGTCATAAGAATTGATATACTAACTCTAATTGTAGGGCCTCCTAGTGCCAGGGTCGGAAACCTTTTCATGGCAAAGAGCCAAATATTAAATTTTGATCTAGTTCTAAGTGATAATTAGTATCCAAGAGTGACATAAGAAGGATCAAAGAACTGCAGGTTTCTGACCCCTGGCTTAGTGGCAATAGGCCTAATTAGTGTGCATAAAGTGCACACTGCACACTTTTACATTATATTTGGATGCAGTGGCTGTGGTCTAAACTTGAGTCAATGTCAAGCTAGTGGACTTGAGAGCAAAAATATCACCAGCACCCTTGGTGGATGAGACTCATTAACCTTGGATTGCAATTCATCAAGAGAAGGTAAACTTAGAGATGGAGTCCCGTACGTGGTATAACATTGACACAATGAAAATTTAGACTAATCCTGCAATATAGAGTGCTTAAAGAGCACATTCAAGACACACTGCTGGTCATCTACTACATCTTGGTCTATTTCCAGTCGCCTTGACCAAGTCTTGCGATTGGATCAAATAGGCAAGGATGAGAGAGTGAGGCTGCCAAATTGAGCAACTCTCCCTCACCTGCTTAGACAAAATACAGCTCAATTTAAGGCTACGAGTCAAGTCAAAAATTGCCTTGGTCATCATTGTGTGCAAAGGACGAGCAATAATAGTATTATAATTTATCAACTGTCAAAATTCTGTAGTTCTATGACTTTGAATCATGTAAATTTAAGTAGATAAATACTCTTTCCTTCATTATCTATGTTAATTTTTTTAAATCTTAAAAATCTTAAATATAAAATTTTTCTTTTTGTTCTAAAATAAAATTTCAAATATTAAATAAATAAGATAAATATCTTTCACTTACAAATCTTCTCAAGCACACAATGTAACATGGATGAGGCTGTATGAGTAAAGGCGAAACTCCTTATATTTTATTCAAATTTGTTTTTTATTTGCTCCTAAGTCTATTATAAACATGGAAACATAAAAAGTGTATTTTTTACAGACTACTGCCTCGTAGGAAGTGGGGAGGGATCCACAAAGGCTAGGGAACTTTATCCAAAAATTAAGGCAGCGACATAGAGAGCTGTAAGAGGTAGCCCCCCCCCCCTCCCACACACTCCCTTGATGGTTGTGTGCAGGGCTAACAACCAAGCCATGTAAAAAAAAATGTACAAAATGTTCACAAGTTATCTTCAAAATTATTTTTATGTTCATTATAATTTATGTTACTGAAATCATTTTTATGTGAGGACCTCTTGTAACTTTAGTTCCAAAGGTCAGTTTAAGAAAATGCAAGTTTCAAAAAGCCATAATTTATTTTTAGAAATTGCTCATGTGTCTTGTTTTTTAAAATGTTTTAATCACTTTTAATTTAATCTGCAACTATATATTTTGGGGAAATTGTTCTCCTGCACTTTTCTGTACGTGTTAGATATATATAGGAATTATATTTTTTTATTTAAAAAATCAATTTAAGCCCAAGGCTTTATACTAGTGTCACTTGCTCTACTTCAGGATAATAATTCCACTATTCAAATAATTTATTTAGGCTTATAAAGTTTTGTTTGTGGTTCCTGAATATAGATTTTCAACTTTTTGCAATCTGCTATGCGTAATGAACCTTCATCTTAGGGCCAGTTCACCAACAAACTCTCCCCCCCCCCCCCCCAGAACAGTTTGACATTAATTAGTATGTGTGTTCACTGATAGACTCTATGTTGTCTAGGGGAACAATACTATTTTAGAGTATACTTTACTAGCCAGCAATACTTGGTCTAATTAAGTGCAAAGTCAATGCTCAACTATCAGTTCACAAAATGCCCTCTATAAAATCCTCACTACACTGAAGTAATATTTAGACCACTCACTAGACACTAACTGTCACTGACAAAGTAGGACTTGCACTTTTCACACTAAAATGATAACCAACTTGTTACCCGTGTTACACAGCGTTTATTTCTCTCATTATTTATTGCCATTTACACTTCGACCAATCACATACCAAGCCCTCAGTAAGACTAGGTAATGAATTCACCAACCCCCCCCCCCAAACTCATTCCATCCACCACCCAGCCATGCTCACAAAACTAGTTCATTAGACTAGGTAATGAATTCACCAACCCCCCCCCCAAACTCATTCCATCCACCACCCAGCCATGCTCACAAAACTAGTTCATAGGGGTCGTTCGCGAATGACGTCACACAAAAAAATGACCTTTTCAGACCTCCTCCTCCCCCCCGTCACAAAGTGTCAAAAATCCTTTACACCCCCTCCCCTTAGTCACACCTAAAAAAATTCAAATCATAAATAAAATTTTCATAACTGAACTAAGACTTTATTTTATTCTTTAACATTTTCCCATAATGGATTAAGATGTAGTATTATTAGAAACTGTAAAGTGGCCAAAACAGTTTTTGCTTCATTTTTGGATATGTGCAGAAGCTGTGCGGGACTAAGTTTCACGGTACCTATGGTACCAGAGAAAATTTTGACCTCTAATTCATGTTTTTAAAATTAATTGAATAAAGATTTTTCAAAATTTTAGATTTTTAATTTTTTTAATTTTGTGACGTCACAAATGTTTTTGACTCCACCCCTGTCACGAGTGTCACAAATTCTTAATCTGCTCCCCCCTCCCCTCCCCTGAGCATGACGTAATTTGCGAACGACCCCATTACACTTTGTACACCTGGGTAATAGTTAATATAACACAATGATGATTTCTGCAAAACTCTTGTCTCATTTTTATGACATTGTTTTTAAGAAATACTGTGCATGTCCCTTAAATGCACATACACAGTTATTTTAATGTTGCAAGAATTAGAGAGTACCTTGCTATATTAGATGATAATAGTCCGATTTCATTTTTTATTCTGGCAATCACAATAGTTCTTTCCAACACCACCACCCTAACCCAAACAACACATTTACCATGGTTCTGATTATTGAAGCTAATTTAATTTCTGTTAGTGTGCACTTTTCTTTTATTGATATTATTATTAATGAGACTGGGAGAGCTATCTATTTTAAAACTATCTGTGATTTTAAAAAAAAATGACTCTTGTAGGTTTACCTCAGTCCCTCCACACATGAAGACTTTTAGATACAAAATATTTATTCACAACTTTTGATCCAGTTTAAAGTATAATACTTTTTTCAGGTTTCATATTGAGATTTTGCTTATTGCCCCTTCCTCATTATTTATTATCTCTTATTATAATTTCTTCGGCCAATTACTTTGTCATTGGGATAATTCTTGTACGGCTGCATGCATGGTGATGTGTTGAAAAATTATATCAGTGATATGATTTTATAACTTTTTAAGGCAGATTTTATATACATTTTTGTATCCAAATGGCGTAGATTTATTTAATATTATACTGTCATCCCTCACCACTTCACGTTTCAAAGATAGCGGCTTCACTCTCCTGCGCTTTTTTTTCACTTCAAATATAAAATGCATTCATTAAAAAGTTGATTGAGATAGTGAAAATGATACAATGGGCACTGGATTGTCTGAGTCAGTTATACAAGCCTGTATCACAATTAAAATTAATGTAAACCTTAACTGTAGCCTGTATATTCGAGCACCCCCAGAGGGTCTAATATTAAAAACTGTATTTAGAGAGTCATGAACAGGTTTCCTATGCTCTAACTTCGAAAATATTCTATCTAATATTTATAAATGAAGAACCACACTTTGCGGAAATTCACTTATGGCTGTTTGCCAGGCACTGCTTAATTGAGCTGAGATCAGTACAAATAATGTCAAATATACTATATATACTAATAATTATATAAAAATCCAGTAAAAGTGGGGATGTCAGAGTAAAAGACCTACCAAATACCTTTGGTTGGTTTTATGTATATAGAATTATATAATATATATGATTATATAATATATATGATTATATACTATATATGATTATATAATATATATGATTATATAATATATATGATTATATAATATATATGATTATATAATATATATTAAAACAATGATAACTTTTTTTTGTACATAAATTGTACTACTAATTGTAATACTGTAATTATATTGTTCTTGTACTAGTACTAGTATATGAATGGTAATTTATAATTTTATCATCTGACTGTCTTCAATTCTTTCAATGTTATGATAATATTAAAGTAGCATATATCATATATGAAGTTTAGAAAGCCAAATCAATACCAGTTGACTATACTATCTATCATTCCAGAAGGGGCCCAAAATTATGTAATCTTAAAAAATTACTCTTCCAGGAAATATTTTATTGACCTCCCTTTATCTGATTCGACCTTTGAACTTTTGATGACGGCAACACATTAAAATAAACAGCCGAGTTGGACACACTTCCTGCCTTCTGTTCAATTGTGTAGCAGATTGTTCACGTCGCACAATAATAAAAGCCGGCCCACAACACATCCTTTTTGTGTTAAAATCTGTTACCACCAGGCTCGTTATAGCAGGTGGTATATTTATTCAGGACTAGCACACGACAGCAGGCGCTACTACCGGGCGATACCGATTTCATGATTTCATTTTTAGGCATTACTCAGGCCCCAGGGTCTGACTGAACTAAATTCTGTAAAATTAATAATAAATTATTCCATCTGATTCTGTGTGGTGAGGACTCATTTCAACTTAGAATAATTAAATGATAATAAATGTCCAGGCCTTATTTACTGGCCGTGATAGGCTTTTATTTGTATCATAAAACCCATATGGTGTAGAGAGAAGTAAAATATTATACTTTGTATACCAGTATAAAACCTGCTTCTACTTCTATAATAAATTATAAATAACTATCCATTTAATATGATTTAACTTATTATTAATTAATTATATTAAACTATAAAAATTTGAGTTTGATTGATAAAATCCTAGCCTACCAGTCTCAACAAGCCTGTTAATATTTACTATTAGTATTAGTATAGTTATACATTTTTGTATCCAAATGGCGTAGATTTATTTAATATTATACTGTCATCCCTCATAGTGTTACCCATAAAAATAATAATTAGACTCCATTTTTATTGTTAAACTAAACCCTAACCTGAACCTTCAGCTGTGCTAATTTTTACCTACTTATACTACTGCTACTACTATTAATTCACCCACTGCTATTAATTCACAATCACTGTGCTGGATTCTCAGAAGCTTCCATGACCACTCTCAGGAACCACTGCATTTTAGTACATTAGTGGTCATCAAGCATAGGGCTCATATTCATACTTATGGGCTTCTTGATTATCATTCTTGTTTCGTAATAATAATATTATTAATTTTATTGGCCTGTGTGTTTCAGAAATGCAAATTAAAAGTTAATATTATTGTTTTCAATAGTGAAGATGCTGTCTGATGCCTTTGGCTTTAGTCATGATTCATGAAAATGAAATGACATTGGTTATAAATCAGACAGTTTTGTTAACACTATTAAATGTCAAATACAATGATGACAGACATTAAGTCAGACAAAGCTAAAATTATCGATAGACTAGAATCAACTACTGAATTATCGGAAGTACCTGTTAACAATTCAACGTCGAGTACATCTTCTCAAGTTACACGCAATTTCGTCGACTATGAATCCATCAGTGGCCCAATAAGTTATAATAATTTTCCAAAGGATCCTGACTTTGCAGCAGTTGTTCGAGAGGTTGAAATAGGACTTGACCAAGGTATTAAACCAAAGCTTAGTGATAAAGGAACAAGTGGATGTTATTTTATGCAAGATCAAGATCAGGTACGATTATTACATTTTTGTTTGTGTTCTATTATCTAATTATATTTTATGGTGTGCAGCACTGTTTTTCAACCTTTCTATTGGAATGGACGTAGAGCGTTTAGATTGTTCATGGAACCCCATGCAAAGACACAAAAGCTTGTTCTCTTCCAAAGGGTCGGAAGCATCATTATTCCTATACTTAGTTATGCATTTAAAAAAAACATTGGTTATTGCAGGTGTGTAACACTGTAATTTTACCCCAAATAAAAAATAAACTCATTTCGCCAGAATAGCAGGTTTTACGAGTTACTAAGTTTCTTTATTGCAATAGCGAACTTTAAAGTTTGAAATTTGTGCTTGGTGATGTCTACAAAGCAATTGAATTAATGGCTGAATGTTTTTAAATCCTCATCTTATTTATTTATTTCTAAGTGATACATGGAAGACAACATTATTTGTTTCTACTAACCCAATTATGCGCATTTCATGCTTTATTTAGGTGAAGTAGAATAAGTATGATTTATTTGCCCTGCTTGCTTCTAAACAGTTACATTTAATTTCTTTATACAGATTAAATTTAACTAACATTGAAATAGATAAGGAGAGAACCTTATCCTATTTCTATAATTGTAATAATATAGGATTTGGCTTTTTTTGCTTGATGATCAAAGCATGACTATGAATTTTTAAAATCTTAAGTGTGTCTTATTCATGGAGCTGATATTAGAAATTAAAATCATTTTTTAGAGATATAAATGGTAAATTAAATGTCTTCATGCTTTGCAAACCTGTCTCAGAAATTTAACAAACCAATAATTTGCCATTTCTTACTATTCTTATTGGTGTGACTTTTTAAAAATAAACATTTCTAGTTTGTTTTTAAAGGTGCTGTAATTCAACTGTTGCAACCACTGCTATTTTCTGTAGGCACCTGACTTTTTTAATCCCTTGTCAAGTTTGTTTCCGTCTGTCCCCATTGGTGGTTTAGATTTTTTACACAGATTTTACTTTTTCCCTAAGAATAGCTGCCTTACTTGACTAAAAAGTCCTTTCCAGCTGGCTATTTATGCATAGCTAGGGAAGAATTTGAACTCAATATACTCTTGGTCCAGGCAACCTTACCATTGCACCAAAGCTCCAAGAAAGAGTTACTGAGTTAATGTTAAGGAAACCTTTGCTTTAAACATGCTTATGTTGTCATATAGCAGCTCAGAGCCAGGGGTGCAAGGATTAAAATGGCACAAAACAGCTGGTGACATCAAAAGAAATAAATCAATTGTATTTATAAATAAAATTAAAGTACAAAGATTATCCCATAAGTAGGGTTGAAAGCAGTTTCCTAAAAGTAAATTTTAAATGAAATCCCACTACATATTTATATAAATATTAATGTTATGGTGAATCTCATGATTGCAAATTTTACTAAAATCAATGAAAATTGTATTGCGACTGTTCAGACTTGCATTCTAGCTCTCTCCGATTATTTACATACCACATATTCATGTGATAAAGCCACATTTTTTGGGTAATGTTTTAAGTGAATAGGATTAGGTATTTCAGCTTATGAGTGAATCAGTTGATATTTTTATAATTTTCTTCTGGTACATTAATAATGACATTTTTAATGGAGATCACAGAGGTCCTACAAAATGCTCTATAATATTCAAATAGGTTTTGAGCAGCTTTAAATATTAATAAATTAGACTTACCTTGTTTGTGTAATAGATTCATTGTCTTGTTTTACAAGAATATCTTAACAATTTTTAATTCATGCAATTTAAGCCATTGTTTACCACGTAATGTAAAAACATTTATACAGGAATTATATGGCGCCACTATTCAGTTGTTTTCAGCACTGGGATAAACTTATTATTTTGTGGGGTTGGCTTATTAGTGGGCCATACATTTTTCGGGGTTGACTTATGAAAGAAGAGTCTTTAGAATGAGTATCTGCAGTAACTTAACCATCACTCAATTGTGTTACATGAGTTGGAAATAATCTTAGTACATTAAAGATCACCAATAACATTGTAATTATAGAAATAACTATTTTTTAATGAATTTTCCTACTTACTGAAATAGTTATTATCTTCAAGTTTGTGTAAGCAGATAAGCCTGGCTGCTGTCAGGTTGCATCAAAAACAAGAGAAAAAAACATCAGCTCTCAAAACAGAGGGAAGTTTGTCTTTTTCAACAGCTTCTTCCTCTTGTGGTCTGGGTTCATTCTCTTCAATCGTAAATGAAAATGTTTCAAAATATCATGCTGAGAATCTCAAACTGTAAAGATTCAGCTGTCCCCATTGAAACGACTATGCATGTGAACTTTCTGATGGTAGAGAGCCCTGTTGCGAGAGCCAGGAAGTAAACTATTCAGACCCTACAAAAATGTGCAGATTCATCTGATCAACTACAATGTTTGTATTGTATGTAGAGTGTAGAGTTTGGACATGAGCAAGAGGAGTACTACTTACATCTTTTTAAGATGTCAGATTTTAATTGTGATTGTTTTTTATGGAGCCTCTTACAAATGGAAAAAGAGTGCAACAGCAGGGGGCGCTGCACAGTAAGTCAAATGATGCAGTGTGTTTCCTTTCATGTTAACTCTTGCCACCCAGACGTTAATAATGTTTATTTATAAGTGCAGTGGAAGTATTATGTGGAGTGACTTGGAATTAAGACTGAGTTCAGGAAAAATTATTTGGTGATTATATTATTCCAAGTCTTCCTGAGACACAGAAACACGAGACACGTTTTGAGATTTAAAAAATTTACTAAATATAGAAAGTACACTTCTCTACACTTGTGGGAAGATAAAGATACAAAAATTCCCCAGTGACATGCAACTTCATGCCAGGAAATATTCTCCTTATTAAAATATTTGGTCTGCTTGATGTACTTGAAAGCCAGGTGGACTTTGTACTCGGCAGACATACACTTTTTTTTAATGATATCAACACTTTTTTAATAAATGATATCAACATTTTGCATTTAAGTTTTATCATGGATGCCGTAAGAACACTTGAAAGGGTTGTGCTTCAAGGCTTGTCTTAAAAATGCTAATCAAGTGTACTCAATAACATCATAACTGATTTATTGTTGTTGAAGGCCCAAAAAGTCAGGCTGTAATTCAGTTATATATGTAGTTTTGTGATTTTAATGTCAATATCTTATTGTGTCAATGGTGTAATTGAAGATTTTTTTTTATTGCTTAAGCAAAGAAATTTAAGGTTCAATGGGCTGTAATTTCTCTTTTTTAATATACATTTAAATATATATATTTAACTGAATTCTTATCATTGTATCTTGATAAGGGAAAATGTATTTATGGATGAATGTTTTGAAACCGAAGGTGCACAAATTGTTTTTAGGCTGAAGGCACCATTTAGTCTCACTATTGTCAGGTGACAGGTGGTCATTAATTTGCCATTTATAAATGGAATTACCACTTTACTTATTCAATGACAACTATATAATTTGTGGGTGATTAAGAGTAATAGTAAAGTGAAATAACATTGCCCTTTATTGATTATGATTCACTGTATATGTAAATGTAATAACTAGTTTTCAGCTTCTTGCTGATTATATAATATTATATTAAATAGAAAATAATGATATAATTTATTTATTTTTGTATCAATTTTGAAACAGAAAATAATAGCAGTATTCAAGCCAAAAGATGAAGAACCATATGGGCATCTTAACCCCAAATGGACAAAGTGGATGCACAAACTTTGTTGTCCTTGTTGTTTTGGCAGGAGTTGTTTAGTTCCCAACCAAGGTTACTTATCTGAAGCAGGAGCAAGTCTTGTTGATCAGAAACTGGGACTCAATGTAGTACCTAAAACCAAGGTTAGTATTTGTTCATATTGACAAAATTGTGTCTTCGTTTAAGAGTTATGACACTTTAAAAATAAATTTGGATGACACATCTCACCCACTTCATCACAGATACCTAAGATCAGCTCGATTAGGGAATATTTTTTCCTCTTAAAAGTTAGGACAGAAAGATATACAGATACATTTGTTCCCCAGTCTGTGGGAATTTACCAGCGTGCTCCCCCAATGATTACCATATCTAAATGATCACTAATTACGTTATTATTGTCACTAAAGCAGTTCATTTGTGGTTGATTTATTCGCTAGTGAAATAATTCAGATGTCTTGTTTAACTTTTTATAATTGTAAAATTTTATCTTTGTTAAAAGTAAGTTTATTTATGTGCTGAAAATGAATACATACAATGTAATCAAAAAACATTTCCATTTATTTTGATCTATAAAGAATCTTATCTGATCAGAGATTTATAAGTGATATAATGTTCTGTTATATCTTGTCATCACTTCAAATTAAAGAACTCATTTTTTTTCCTTCAGACTACTATGATTTTAATTTAAAAAACTAAAGCTGAAATTGAAACTTTAATAAGAGAAAGCCTATGCACCTCTTAAATCCTCATAAACAATGCATAACTGCAGAACTTTAACCTGTAAGTTCCCCAATCTTCTACTTGGGCAAAGGAACTGAAAAGTGAAGAACAATTTTGAAAAGTTTATTTTTAAAAAGTAATGGCAAAAGTAAAAAGGGGTAGATTAAAAATCATCCCCATGTTATTGATACTGAGATTAATAATTTTCACAAGCCCAGACTATATTGACCTTAAGTGATCTTTTAAAAAAAAAAAATTAACACCGGTATATTTGGTTCATCCATTTATTTGAGATTAAAGCATTTTTTCACTGAAGTACTTCACGTTTGTAATTTGTACTAAAAACTGAACTGTAATTTTGTCCTAGGAAGCTTTATAATTTGTTTTACATTTTTTATAGCATGTTACAGTTTTTTTAAAATAAATTAATAAATTATTATGTGATTTGTAAAAATGGCCCAAAAATAACACCATTGTCTTAAAAACAGGCAAATTTCATTTCATTGTGTAATTTAAGAAATACTTTTAAATAACCCATAAGTTCAATTGATTTTTTTTTTTTTGGTCCCATATGTCATTTTAGAAGCTAAATATGTAGCCGAATGTATTTAATTAATCGCATATGGAACTTTAATGGATTTTTATTTAACTTGGTGTGAAATATGTTTATGAGCATTTACCACTGTGGGTACGTTTTAAAGGCAAGGTCCCTGTATCCTATAATGTTGACATTACATACACAACTTCCTCTTGCGACAGATCCATTACTTCGGTTAATCTCAGACCTTTGTATATACAGTGGAACCTCTCATAACGAGTTTAATTCGTGCCAGACTCTTACTCGTTAAGCGAATCACTCATTAAACAAAACAATTTTTCCCATACAAATCAATATAAAATACGATAATGCGTTCCATGCTGAAAAAATACTAATTTTTCAAAAAAATGTATTAACATTTATTCAAATAAAATTACTTATGAATTGTTAAGGAGTGTAACAACTTGGAATACAATTTAGATTTGAAACAAAAAACGTAGATAAAAATATGAATTTTTGACAAATAATTAATCCTTTTTAACTAGAAAACTGTCTAAAGACATTTGTTTTTGCAGACGCTTCAAAATTTGACGAAAATGTGTTATAACATTATCATTGAATAAATTTGCAGCGAGAATAGCCTCGCTCACACCTTGTTCTCGCTTTTCAATGATTTTACGTTTCATTTCAACAGTTATTTTTTCTCTATTATGATTGTCTCTTGTGGTTTTCATTTCAACAGTTATTTTTTCTCTTTTATGATTGTCTTCTGGTGTTTTTTTTTTCGAAGACATTTTAGCATAGGTTATTGCACTTTGCACATAAAAAAATTACGAATACTGTCTGAATACTAAATTTGTAAAAACTGGTGATCACACACGAAAACAATACTCTAACAGACTAGTGCTAAACATAGACTAATGCAATGGTTCTCGACCTTCCTAGTACCGCGACCCTTTAATACAGTTTCTCGTGTCTTGGCGACCCCCCAGCAACCTAATTATTTTCATAGCTGTAAGAATTTGTGTTTTCAGATAGTCTAAGGGGACCCATGGGAGAGGGCAGCACTATCCCCAAAGGGGTCATGACCCACAGATTGAGAACCGCTGGACTAATCCCTCGGCGCAGAAGTCCCGGCTCACAAATGAATGTCAGGAAAAAGGGACTTCCCCTTTCTGCGTAACTTGTAATGCGAAATATCGCTCGTTAAGGGAGCAACTTGTCACATTTTATTTTGCTCGTTATGCGAATTACTCGTTATGAGAGGTTCCACTGTATTTCATATTCTGTTACATGATATTGATTAATTTTTTTTTACATTTCATCCCTACAGGTGGTGCGATTATCAAGTGAAACATTTAACTATAGTGCAATAGACAGGGCAAAAGCCAGAACGAAGAGGAATATATACAAGAAAGTACCGATAGTAGGAAAGCATTTCAACAGAATAGGGTTGCCGCCAAAGGTATTTGGCATTACTCAATCCTTCATTTTGATTCAGTTAAAATGTATGTGGGTTTTTTTTTTATTGCATTTATTATTGCATTTATTTTTTTTTTTGGATTTTTTTTCTTGTGGGTTAGGGTTCACTGCTGAATCATTCATCTGTCCATTTCATCTGCGAGTGAAAGCTGTTGGCCTGCAGACACATTCTTTGTTTTGTTGCATTCAAGCTTCAAATATACCTTTTGTTTTATACATGCATTTAATAGATCAATAAATTTCTAGGCCTAAATCAGTTTTATATAAGCAACTGATGTTTTATTCAAATTCATATGAAATGCATTATTTTAAAAAATTAATGTTTCCCTCAGTGCTCATGCTTCAGCTGCCTTTAAACATGAAATGGTTGTATAGAAATAGACTTCAAGTTCTAGCCATCAATGGACTTAGTGTTTTTCCCACCTAGAAACTATTTATGCTCTCTCATGCTGGATATTGAAAATCTTGGTATACAGGATATGGATTTATAACTATTGTGAAAGATAATATTGATTTTCTCATGGTCTACTGGCTTGTCATTATATTTGAATGACTTTAATACAAAGCTTTCACAAGGGTTACACAGTCAAGTTTAGCAATAATTGTATGTTTTGTTCATAAAAGTTAAAAGTTCTTTCCTTACCAGAAAATATTGCCATTGACTTTCAGTACAGTTTTTGTGCCATGGTAACAACAGCCCCATTGCAAACTTCTGTATTTGTATTCGCAGACTGGGTCTTTCCAGTTGTTTGTTAACGGGTTTAAGGATGCTGATTACTGGTTGCGTCGATTCGACAACGAAGCCTTGCCGGAGTCTACAGCAAAGAAGTTCCAAAATTTGTTTGAACGGGTTGTTGTATTGGATTATATAATTAGAAATACTGGTGAGTTCCTCTTTTTGCCCCTTGATTACCACTGTCTCAGTCCTCATAACACTTAAAAATTGTATCATTCCTCCTTTCCCCCCCCCCCTCATATTTTAAGGAAATAGTACCAATAATGCATATACTACATGTTTTAGACTGTAAGCCTTGTCTGTAGTTTTTACAGTCATATTGGAAATTACATATTATGTTCAGATTCAATTTTTATAAATGACTTGGAGTTTTCAAGCGTATATGGTAGTGCTCGTATACAATTATTTCTTATATGTGTTGTCAGGGTTAATCTTTGTTAAGTTCCAGGTGAAGAAAATGTAATCTATTAGTAAATTAGAAAGTGGCCATTAGTTTGATTTTCATTAAATTAAAATAATTGTTTTGTGTACGTTTTGATTCAAACAGCTTAATGATTATTATTGTTAACTTGCTTTTAAATATTTACAGACCGAGGTAATGATAACTGGTTGATAAAATATGAACCGGCTTCTGCTAAGGCACCTAGTTCCAGCCAAACTGATGAGGTATGGCATTTATACAGTAATCACATAAGATTTTTAATTATTTTGGGGGATTTCATTCTTGTTTACTTTCTATTTTCATTTTGACATTATAATAAATCTGCTTAATAACAATTCAATACTTAGTGTAACTGCCCCAGCATACCATTAAAATTACTGAATATTTTAAAACCCATCAATCCTAGGAAGAAAAATTCAATTATAATATGTATGCAGAAATTAAATCTGATCTTTTGTAATTAATTTTTTTATTTGATTAAACTGTACAATGTTGTCAAACTGGTCTCCCTTTATAGGACTCTGAATGGAGCATGGTTGAAAACCCTGAGATATCTGTAGCTGCTATAGACAATGGACTGGCTTTTCCATTTAAACATCCTGATGAGTGGCGAGCATGTAATACTATACTACTTTGCTAATATTTCAAATAGGCACAATACTTAATTTTGTATAAGGATCATAATAGGTCAATAGGTTGTCACTAGCCTTTAAAAAATGTTTTATTTCATCATACAAGAAAACTCAATTCAAACATTTTTTCCCCTATAATGTTAAAAGGATGGAAGCCTTATACCTTCTTATTGATTTTATTGTTTAGCTTGCCCTTGAGTGTTTTAAGGGCAATTAGAGTGTCCATTTTGTTGTTCATCTCTCTGATCCAGTTTTCTTTTTATGGATGGCAAATGTGTTCACAAAAGAAAATCCATTTTTATTTAATATCCTCTTAAAATAATATTTCCTTATAAAGGTTTGGAATTAATATTGTATGACAAAGTAATTTTATTTTTGTGTATTTAAATCCACATTTTCTTTACAGTAAATATAATAATACACTTGATAAGTAAAGAAAAACCCAATTAATATATCTAATTGGCTATACTCGGACCCGGGTCCGAGAAGTTAGAGGTTGGGATTAAAATTTAATGTCATTAATATATATATATATATTATTGTACGGTTGTAAGACAAAATGTGGTATCAAATGAAAGATAATTGAATGGACTATATGTTTGTAAACTTAATTCTTCAGTTTGCCATTTGGGGTAGTTTATTTTAGTTAAACTTAAGAAGTAAGTTTACAAACATATAGTTTGGACGTAATAGTCCATTTAAACAAAATTTTGTCTTACAAACCCTAAAATAATTTTAAATATTTTTTAATAAACCCAAACTCTAATTTCGCGGACCCAGGTCCGAATAGCCGCAGCCTTAATATATAGTTATTTATTTTGACCTTTCTTTGGTCTTATATTTGTCTTCTATTTATCCTTTCACTTGAAATCACATTGTTATTGCTTTTCCTTAGATCCTTATCATTGGGCCTGGTTACCGCAAGCTAAAGTGCCCTTTTCTCAGGAAATCCAGGATCTTCTGTTGGGACAACTGTCTGACATGAATTTTGTACAAGACCTCTGTGATGATCTCTATGATTTATTTAAAGTGAGTTTTCCTTGGTTGATGCTAGGGTTTCACATGTTACTTGTTAAATAATCTGCCATTTTGATGATTAATTGGTATCAGTCTCTCTGATCTCTGATTTATCAGCCTATGGCCATCAGAAAATACTTTCCACAGGCTAGATTTTAATGTATCTGGATTTTTATAAAGAATGAGAAATATTTTTATATGATTTTAACTAATTTGTACCAAAACAGACATGTGTAAGTCTCTTGCCTTCCCGCTTGTTTTCAAAATCTCTCTTGTTTTCCAATGGTTAATTTTATTGTTGCTCCTTCTGTGACGTTGTCTTAGTTAGTGCAACGAAAGGCAGGCTGGACACCGCATACATATTTGTAAAAGTTCTATTCCTTTATAGCTATAGCTTGCTTTGACATGCCTTAGCTTTTAATGTTTGTTTGGATGTTGCCTAGCTGTTAGGCACATGCACTTGATTTTGGGTAGTTGGGAAGTTTTTGGTTTTGATTGTGTTTAAAGCACTTATTCATCATGAAGGGCCATCAAATGATCCAAGCAAAGAATGCCAAAGAGTTCAGATCGAATTTAAAGAAGTGTGGGTTTTAACAGTCCTTTTGCCATGGCAGCAACTAGAAAATTAATAAATACTCTTTCTCAGCTGGATAAATGGTATGGCTGCTGGGCAGTGGCAACTTCTTTCAGATTACGAAAGTACAATCCAAATTTACAAAATAAATAATCAGTTGATATGGCAAGGTCCATTAATCTAATAATTTGCTTATTAATGCAACCCTTCTTGGCACATAATGGGTGGTAATCACTTCAAAGCTGTCAGTCTCAAAATCTTTTGCAATTTAAAAAGAAACACCAAAAAATTATTGTTAATACTTAACACTTTATAAATGGATTGTGTTCTCAGAATTATGATGATATTAATCATTTACTTGAACATAGACCCCATGTCTGTTTGCCAGGGTATTGTGTTGAAAATTTATTTATGCTTAACTTAAAACTAAGGTTTGTTGCATTTTTATGTAACGAGAACTTTACTGCTAGTAGTTATAAAATATGTAGCTATTTTTGGAGGGTTCCTTAATGACGTATGTCCATTCTCATAAATATTAAGTTATTCTTATAAATAAAATTATAAATGCTGTGTACATTTTTGTACTGTGAAAGCATATTTTATAGAAATGTATTGTATAAGCATTGGCATATCAAGCTAACTATCAAGCCAACACTACAATGTCTTCTTTAGTTTGATCAGCTTAATTCTGTTATCTTTTTTGTAGCTCACACAATATTTTAGTCTTTCTCTCACCGATTGTATTCTCATCTGCTATTGGTTGGCCCTGACCTAGTCTCAGTTGTTTTGTTTTTCACTTATCACAGAATGACAAAGGTTTTGACCGTCATACATTCGAGAAACAGATGTCTGTCATGCGTGGTCAGGTAAGAGCTTTCATACTTTAATCTACATCAGCTTTTCTCAAACTGCATTGAACACCAGGTTGTGAATAGTGATTTAACAAAAATAGCATTACAACATCATATTTATGTAAAATGCAAATGGTTCAAGATATAAATAGTTTGATCTACATTGAAAGGATTGCTTTACAATCTTTTTTTAAAAATATGATTTGATGGCATCAAAAGAATACTAGGTTTTTGTTTTATAATTATATAATTTTTTTTTCCAACGTTTCATATTATTTTATAACATATAATGTATTGATTAAAAAAATTAATTTAATAAGAATTATAATTTTGACAGAAGCAAATTTATGTTTGTCTCAACAGATCCTAAACTTAACGCAGGCCCTAAAAGATGGTCGTTCTCCAGTTCAACTCGTCCAGATGCCAGTGGTAACAGTTGAACGAAATAAGTCAGCAGTAGGGCGAACACGAGCCGACAGTGAAATCTTCACTCAGAGCTTTTCTCACAGAGCTCCCTTCTTCTCTTGGTGCTGAACTTTGCAAGAGGTGGAATTTAAAACAGCTTTTGTTTGTTACTATTTTCATAAAAATATGGACATTTTGTTAAGGGCATGCAAGCACACACAAAGAAATTTCAAAACTCTTCTAGTTAATTTAAATTTGTTTGATAATAAATGCTTGGCAAGAAAATTGTATGTCGCTGCATGTGCAAGATGGGGGTTATGAGCAGCTGCCTTAACAGATTATTCATCCCAATTTTTATAATCATTGCAAATTTTTAAATAATTAAAACTTTTTGGGTCCAAAAAAAAATTAAAAAATTATTATAATTCACCTGTTATGACCTCTTCTTACTTAATGTTAGTCTTCTTATATTATGAAACCTGGGTTTAAGGTTCCCCTTTCAATGCATAATAATTCTAAAATGTTTAACTTTATTCAGTTGTTTTTTTATTTTAATCTCTCATGAATATTTAACACAAAAGCTGATTTTAATGAACTGAACTTTTTAATCAACAACTTTGATCTCAGGGTCAGAAACAGAACTGTTCCATTTTTCATTTCCAATTGAACACCGATACAAGCTTTTTTAATATATAAAATAAAGAACTATTTGCAATATCTTCAGGTGGGCCAAAAAGTAGTTACTTAGATTAGCTCAGGGTGTTAGGCAGTGTGATTTAATGTCATAAACTTCCGCTGTAAATGTACAGTGAATATTTTTCAGTTTAATTTATTTCATACTTACTAATTGTATATTTGATACTGTCTGGTGTACCTGTACATAAGATAAGATTTGTCCTTGTGGAAAAACCACAATGATGAAATTAAAGATTGGTATCTGTGTAATATGTTTGACATTACATGTAATCTAGTCTATTGTTAACAATGAAGGATGGGTAAACCCTTGTTGAAATACTTCAAGAATATTGTTTTGATTTTATTACTCAGTGAGAACATCAGTGGACAAAAGTGATTTATAATATAATTCTAAATTAGTTCTTATTCTTGTTGTCCCACTACCATAGCTAGTAAACAGCTTGAAAGACTTACACTTCTTGAATTAGTAAAAATTAATTTTTTAAAGTAGCTCAACCTGCATTTGTTGTAATGCAATGCATTCTAACCTGCATTTATTCTAATGCGACGCATACTAACTTCAACTATTTAATGAAATCCCCAAAAGATTTTTTTTTTAGCCATTTATTGCTATTTAATTTTCTTGTTTGAATTTTTTTTTATTCACAATCATTTAAAAGATACCTGTACTCTAAAAAAATAAGTATAAGGGAGAAGTCTTTTTTTTTTTAATATAAAAAATAGTTAACATTTATTTCAATTAAGCATTGCCCAAACTAATTGGGTATTTAATTTAATTACTTATGGTAAATAATTGTAAAATGGAAATTTGCCTAATAATTTTTATAATTATTATTAATAGCTTAGAAAAGCTATATGGTGATAAAATTGTATATTATTATTTGTGTGTTATTTTATATTAAACTCTTTGCTACAAGTTTTTGTCTGAATTTCGACTGACTGAAAATTCCTTTTTTTTTTTTAAATTATTAGTGCAGTAAAAGAATAGAACCAATCAATTTAAGCCTAATAACCTGAAAACCTTCGTTTTGATAGCAAGAAACAAATTTTTTTTTAAAAGAAAAAAAAAGTGAATTAAAACGTTAGTTGACAGGCATGTAATATTATAAATATAATACCTCATGAGTCATCAAATAAATTACTGAAACTGAAACACACTTCCGTTACTTATATTTTATTAAAATATCAGTTTAATCTAAACTATATACATAAACAAAATGAATACTTATGGTTAAAGCTATCAGTCTGAATAAAGCTGGCAAAGAGTTAATGGCGTAAATGGTCTTTATTATAAGCTCAACTACTATTCCTTATCTTAAAATGAAGTGCTATTAGATCACAAGACTAAGAAGAAGGTAAACTTTTCTCATATTGAAAGACATTCAATTTTTTTTTTTAAGTAATCATTTTAAAAGTAAATGCTTCAAAGCCATTAAGAAACAATAAATCCTTGTGAAGGAAATCAAGCAATATCCATAAATGAGGAGCAATAGAAATTACAGGCCTATGCAAATTTATGTGAATTACTTTTTGAAATACAATGTCAGAAAGTAGACCTACATTGGGAGACTTAGACCAGGATAGGGAATCGATATTACTTTTATAAATGTTCAGTTAAATTTGTAATACCAAGCAGTAGAATTTCTAAAGAAACTTAACTTTTTTTTTTTTTTATTCGTTTATGAAAAGTTTTATTTTGTTAGGGTATATCAGACTTTAGACTGCTATTTCTCAAAATGGATACTTTTTCTCATCAATAAGACTTCATACAACTAGAATATATAGTGGAACCCGGTATAATGCAAAATCTGATACAATGCGGTCGATGCATGTTAAAAAATTTTTTGAAATTATTTGCTTTTCGAAATGCATTAAATATAATAATTAATACTCTTTATAGAAGACAATCTCAAATTCAAACTAGGCCAACTTAAAGCACCGCTTGACTACAAGAGATTACAAAATCAGTTTTTTTAAGCAAAATCAAGTATCTTTTAACGTATAACAAAAATCAAAGCACTGTTTGCATGGAATTTCAGAAAACCCTGCCTGAAAGTTGGACCCTGCCCTTAATGGGGTTCTATAATATGGACCCTAAATATCATGTTACTGCAGGGTTCCACTGTGTTACTAATCAGGCTCTGTATATTAAATTTGAACAGTTAAGGTTTCTTGTAATTATTTAATAGTATAAAAATTCAGCTATATACTTACATATTGTAGCCATTATGGAATAGGAGTTTATATCATCTAAAATAAAAAATATTTAAAAATGTGTAACATTTACAAAACATTTTTGGTTACTAATCTATATCTCTGTGTAAAACACTAGGAGTGTTTAGGGACAAGCCATAGAATTCATGCTAATTCTAATAATTTATCTGCCATGAACTGATTAATAGAAATCAAGTTTTAGCCAGGACAGTAGAGGGACTTATACATAAGTTGCTCATCTTTGCCTGTGCAGTATAAATGATTTTTACTGGTGTTTTACACCCGAGTCTCTGTTACTGCCCTTTCCTGGTGATTCATTTTTTTTTGGTATTGTTTTGTTTGACCTTGTGATAAGATTTTGTTAATTTTTCTTATAACGCATGTAGTTTTATGCCTGAATTTGAGTCATCAATTTGAACATATTTATGAGGCCTTATATTTTTGGATCTCTAAATATATCTTTCTTTATTTTTTTTTTTTATTTAATGGCACTTGAGTATCTTTTACCATTTCACATTTCTTTTTTTTTTGTTTGATCTTTTGATAAGATTTTTTTAATTTTTCTTATAACGCATGTTTTTTTTTGCTTTATTTTTTTTCTTTAATTTTATTATTTTTTTGTGTTTTTTTATTTTTGGATCTCTAAATATATCTTTCTTTTTTTTTTTTTTATTTAATGGCACTTGAGTATCTGTTACCATTTCACATTTCTTTTTAAATCACCATATCTACATGCTACACATTTTGTCCTTATAATTTTAATTATGTTTCTTTTTAGCTAAGTTGAGCTACTAAAAGCAGTAAATCTTAAAAGTATATAATTGACTAATAGTTGATCATGGCTCGCTTTATAGATCATTGTGTTGGTCCTCAATCTGATACTCTTCCATTTGTACAGTACAGCTTAATTGAATTCATAAATGGTTTGAATGATGTCTTATATCATTATGTTTCCAGTTATATTTTCTGGTCCCCATTTTGTGACCAAATAATTTCATGTCTTGATTTTTTACTCAACACATTGATAATTACTGTGTATATTTGAGAGAGAGGCTGTATATATTGCCACCATGGTAAATTGTTTTTTAAAATGTTGCTGGGATCAGTGATAAAAAATGAGGTTTTTGTGTGTTTATTTGTACATTTATTCACTTTAAAAATAAATAATAATTTAATAATAAAGCATTATCTAATTTAGTCTTGTTCAAAAGACATCCCTTTTCCAAGGATTTTTCTGTATTCAACAGTATGCTTACTGGAAAGAAAATTCTCTAATGCTCCCAAAATCTAAATGAAGTAAATTTTGCATGTATTTCAGTGATATAAAAGGCACTAACATTCACAGATAATTAGGTTACATTGATAAAGTGTAATATGTTAGAAATGTTAAAAATAATAATTAATGCTTTGCTACAAGTTAAAAACCACTCACTCACTCATAATTTTTTTTTTGGTGCATGATTTATGACAGTGCTCAACACTATGCAGTCTGACCCCAGCCTGTTAATCTGTCCCACATTGTTAATCAGTCCCACCATTGAATTAACAAAAAGGTAACTGATAGTGAAAAAGCCATGTTGTAAAATATAAACAAATTAAAAATTGTGTATGTCTCAAGATCTCCAGTAAAAATTGCTGCTGACTGACCCCTGGTATTAAGTTTTTGCATGATCTAGTGGAGTTAAACTCAATGTAGAATCAACAGTCCCACTGAAAATTGACATGGTTAAAATGCATGTGTGATAATTTAGCATTGGATGATCGTATAATTAAATTGCCCCTGATGCCTTCACTGTACTAAATCCTATAGTTTCTTTTATTTGGTCAATTTTTTTAACAATAATTTTTGTATGACCTGTTCAATCTAAAATTTAATTATTTTGTATCACAAATTATCAATGTTATTCATTATTCATTGTCAATGTTTCATCTCAACTTGATAGGCTCCTGTTATCTGAAACATCATGCATAGTAACAGGGACTTCATGAAGTTATTTTTAACATAAGTTTATCATCTCAGTAACAAGCTTTCAATTTGCATTAATTATCATTTATTAAGACATGTTTATTTATCTGTCTGAGGGCAGAAAATGCTGCTTTCTTTATCATTATAATTTTATTTTTTTGTTACATTTTATTTAGACAGAAATTTCTACTTTTACAAGCTTTATTTAACTTAATGTAAGACTAAGAGTTCAAATCTTTGACACTGTCTATCAGCAGTGTCTTTACTTGCTGTACTGGTACATAACAGCAGTTTTAATTAGGAATATGCAATTACAAGAAGTTTTGTTATCAGAATCAACATTGAAAACTGTATTTTAAAGTTAATTCCCTGAAATAAAAAAACTAAAAATGGGATGTATCTGTAATACTGAAATAAATTTCTCATTTAAAAATGGTCTATTCATTTCATCATTTACTATGATGTTTTTCTCTTGCACCAAATGGCTCATGACATGCTACACATAAAAGCTGGTACCCAAAAGATGAAATTTTTAAATATTTACTGATAGCAGGTGTAAGCACCTATTTTTGTTATACTTTTAAAGTCCTAATGGGCTTTTTGCCAGTGTTGGCTTAAACATTGACAGATGGAAATGATGTGAAAAACGAGAAGCATGAATTGTTTCAATGTTTATTATACACTATAGGTATACAAGTAGTTTTGAAACATTTAGGTAATTTGCTGCCACTACCACCCAAAAGAAAAAGACACATTTTTTGTTAATTCTATGATAATAACAAAAGAAAAAATACACATTTTTTGTTAATTCTATGATGAGAATAACAAAAGAAAAATAAAGAGCACCATAGACCTTCACTTTTTATTGTGATTTTTATTATACTTCCTTGCTAATACCTTTTTGAGCAGGAAATCATTCTCCTCAGAGGTCAATTTTAATCCAAATACATAATTTTTCCAGGTAAAATATACAATTCATGCTTTGACACCCATCTTTTTATTTTTTTAATTTGTTTTTTTTTTTTAAAAAAAAAGCTAATTGTTAAACAAAATAAGCCAACTTAAAACTTGTACATTTCTTGTCATTATTAAACATACATTTGGTCACAGTATTTAATTATTATTTTTTTTATAATTATGATTTGAGAGCAAATGTTGAAATTCAGTGATCTTTCTAATAACCGCATCCCTTTTCAATCACTTTTAAGATGTTGTTGGTTTTTTTGTGAGAGTGGGAGTAATGATATATGTCGTATTGACATTTATCATGCATACTCTTAAGATGTCATTCCAATTGTTATAATGAGCAGATGACTGCAAAAATAAAGATTTTAATGCATTTTTCAGAGTAAGTTATTAATGAACTAAGAAAAGCTTGGGTTTTTTTTTCAAGTTAACTCTTTTATCAGATTTAACATTCTCAATTTTCTTACATTTACTTTATAATAAAAAATATAGTGAAACAAAAATAAAGGGATTCACA